CAGGTCAGCACCCGGCCCTCACTGTCCCCAGCGCCCCTACAGGTCAGTACCCGGCCCTGACTGTCCCCAGCGCCCCCAGGTCAGCACCCGGCCCTCACTTTCCCCAGCACCACCAGCAAATGCCACTCACCACCTTCATCCCTTTCCTTGAAGATCTACAGATGCAATGCCAATCACTCAAGTCAGCACTTACAGTGAGGAAACCACTCACCAATCACCATCTAGTATGAACTGAGTGACAATCTGGCTTTCCACTCTACTCACTTTCCCCACCTCTCTGCCCCAGTCCCCCTCTGTCACACACCAAGGACATACAAAGTAGACGGCCACCATGAGAAAACACCCCTTACTTCAGGTGCGGCATGCCAAGACACACCCCACAGTTAGGTGCCCTTGTGTAGTACACAACCTCAACAACCTTACCTGATAACCCTGGTCCAGAGAAATAAGACCAGAGTCATGTTGAAGAAAGAATGACAATCCCATTCTTTGTACAACTTGTTGATGAAAATTATTGGCATTTCTGATTCCCAAAGAAACACACCACACTCATACAACCCACAAAATAGTAAGACACAGTCAACATTCTCTTCATGTAAAACCCTCAGCACCCCGATCTTAACGTCTTAGAAATCTGCTGGTTAACCTGTGCAGGCCCTGGACAGGGCTTTGGTCCCTGAAGGCCACCAGCAGCAAAGGCACCACGGAAGCTGCAGGGTGCAAGGCGGCCACTGCTTCTTGCTTTTCAGCCTGCCTTAAAGGGCCCCGTGGAGTCACCCTCTTAGCTTAATTGAAAAAGTAAGTCTCATTGAAGCAGCTTATAACAGAAAGTGGCATGGAGCGACTTGTCCCTGAGGCATTAGCAGCTATTCTGTAGATGGGCAGCATCCGAAGGACCTGGTTCCTGTCTCCAGGCTCCACTTGTCGCCAGCTAAGTGGTCTGTCAAAGCAAAGTCTCCTCCTGCTTCGTCACAGCCCACCTGCCTCTTCCATGACCAACACCTGCCGCAGGCCAGCATCTCTATCCTGCCACCCCAGCTGGGAGGGCAACCTGATGTCACCTGCACAGATGCAGGTGCAGGTGACGTCTCAGTTTCTCTAACAGCTCCTCCTCCTTCGGCTCCTCCAGGATGTCCCTGTGGAATCAGGGAGAAAGTGGTCTCTAATAAAAGACGTTGGGCACATTTGGAAGGGTGAGTGAGCAGAATTTATCAAAAAGCCTCCTACGGGGCAGAACCTGTGGCTCAAAGGAGTAGGGCACCGGCTCCATATATGGGAGGCGGTGGGTTCAAACCCGGCCCTGGCCAAAAAAAATTTTTAAAAACTGCAAAAATCCTCCTACATGGCTCCCACAGAGGAGGGTCTCCCTGGAAACCATCAGAGACATGTGCAAACATGAGTGTGACAAGGACATAGGGACTGAGGGGCTGAAACCCAGCTTCAAGAGGCACGCAACCACTATAATTGTTCACATGGCGTCCCCAAATACCCAGAAGGGGCTGCTCCTGGCTGGCTGGCAGAACAGCAAATCCTCATGCAGGGGACAGAGCCCACAGCACTGTAGCCACAAAAAGGTGGCCACCTTTCTGCACTAGCGGAGGAATAATCTCAGTCGCCAAGAGAGGAGTGCAGCTTCCTCAAGCCACCTGTTTACATCCATCAGCATGACCTAGAGACTGATGGGACCTGGAAGAAGCTTCCTTAAGACATTCTATCAGAGAGCAGGGCGGTCAGCAACCCAGCAGCTGGAGCAGACGCTGCACCTTGACCTGACCCTGACTTCACTCTGAGTTTCTCCCACCTGTTCACCTGTAGCACAGGAGGGAAACCAGGTGACCAGGTGGACGAGGAGGATAGCTATCAGAGGGCCTGCTTGCCACTTTCTGCTTGCCTGAGGGGGCTGCACAGAAGCACCTTCCCTACCCACACACCTGAACGGGAGCTCCTCGGTCATCTGGTAGGTGGCCTCCTCGGTCCCATCAAGGGGATGTAGGTCACTTTGGCTGTCCCACTTATGAAGGAAATTCTGACAAGCAGGAGGGGATGGCCTGTGAGTGTGGGCTCAAGTGAGATAAGCATCACCCTCCCTGACCACCTGCAGGATGGGCCTGGCACCCATTCAGGGAACTGAGAAGCCCAGCCTGGAAACCAAAACCCCAATTCCCCCCTCAGCTTCAGCCCTGGGGGCCCAAGAGTCCCCCCAGGTCAATGTCAGGAGCATCCTATGGAGCCCCAGTGCTGATCCCACCAGAAGGACTCAACCCAAACTCAGGGCAGCCCTGGCCCAGGAGAGACTCCCACCCAAGCTGCAGGTGGACCCCAGTGGCAAGTACAGACCAGGCAGGGATTCTGGTACCTCCAGAATCAGGGCCAGAAGCAGGTTGATCCAGATGACAGATGACAACAGCCACCAAGATATGAAGTAGATCTTGGACCACCTGTGGAGGACAAAGAGGCCACCCAGGGGCCCCTCATGAGCAGATTGAGGTCACTCAAATATAAACAATGAATCATGTCCAAGGCACCTCTCACTGGGACTTGCCAGTGATTCCATGGCATAGAGTACGTGACAACCTCCACTTGAGATGTGGTCCAACCACAGCTCAGAAACATCAAACAAGTCACCCATGTAGCTCTACCAGCAGGAGGTGGGGCTGACCTTTGCTCCCTGCGACTCCCCGACCCCTATCAAAGGGACGGGGCCAGCTGGGTGCTACAGTGGCAGGCTTTCCTGGCCAAGGGCCCACTCCATGCACAAGCCACCCTCTGGGTGTCTGGTACACAACAGGAGAGGAGGAGCCCCCAAGTCTGCATCCAGACGCATGCTGTCTCAGAAGGACTCACTGGCCTGAGTAGCGCTGATAGGCATCCAGGAACACCTGCCAGTTGTTCACCATCATCACGTTCCACAGCGTGACCAGGGCGGCCTGTGGGGGCAGCAGACCAACATCCAGGAGGGTCCAAAGGGTGCAGGAGGGGGAGGGGGAGCAAAGGCCCCGGGCAGGGCGCAGGACTCACGGCAAAGTCATCGAAGTTGTTGGCCCAGTACTCCAGCTGCTCATAGCTCCCACAGGGCACTGATTCATTGACAGCAGCCAGGCTGGGAGTGGACAGGGCACAACAGGCTCAGGGTAGGGGCCAGGGACATGCACACCCCCCAGGGACAGGGGCCACTTTTGGGCTCTGGGTCTAAAGTCCAGCACTTCACACCTCCCCCTCTGCCAGAACGCCTGGCCTGGTCTGAAGGTCCAAGGGAGGGGTCCAGGGGTAGAGGTGCTGCTCTGAGCAGGCCGTGGGAAGTGTGTCCCATACAGACTCGAGAAGGGTTCCAAAGAGAGGCGGAAGTGGGGCAATGAGGAACAAAGAGAGTGTTCCATTCCTTCTTAAAAGTTGAGGGAACTCCCACCTCACCTGCTGTTTACAGAAGGAGCCACAATGACACCACGAAACAAGCTGATCCCAACGATGGCAAACACGTAGTAGACCACCTAGGGAGGCAGGGGCCTAGGGCTGGTCATCCCCACCCACGCACACCCGCCCCACCACCCTCAGTTAAAATCACAAAGCCAGGCCCTCTCCCAGCCTCGCTGCTGCCTCCAACCATGGACGCTGTCACCTCAAAACACAAAGAGCAGGTTGCCCAGGCTGGGGAGTCCATAGACACCAGTGCTCCTGAGACAGGGATGTTCAGAGCACTCCCCAGGGAATCCAGGGACCCTGCTCCCAGGTATACCCTGGTGGCCACGGTTAGAAGATAAGTCTGCCTGCTTGCCCCCAGACCTGTCCTAGTGTGTCCCAGTTGGCAGCAGGAGACGGAGAGGCACATGCCCTGGGCTACTCTGGTCCTCTCTCTGGGCCTCAGTCTCCCACACTGCCAAGCAAGGGGTCTGCACAAAAAATACAGCCTGACACAAGAGTCCATTTGCAGCAGTGTGATCCACACACACAGAGCCAGGCCAAGATCATGTGTGGCTCCAGGCTGTGTCCTTCCCTCCTAGGTGGGGCCACTTCCCACGGTAGTCAGAGTGACAGGACAACAGCTCCATGCAGCAAGGCTTCTTGCAGCAGGACATCCTGTCACCGTGGCATAGAGCAGCTCTGGGGCCCTGCCTGGCCATGGCTGTCCCTCCTGCCCAAGCTCAGTCATAGGGCAGAGCCCACAAGCTCCCCAGCAGAAGGCTGGCCCCTGGGGGAGAGGCCAGGATGGATCATGGGTTTTTGATTGGCAAACACAGCCATGAGTCCCTGAATCCCCCTAAGAAAGACCTGTGCCCCCAAACCTTGGCCTGGGTTTATGTGGGCTTTGAGAGTCCCCCAGAGACAAACTCTTTTGTCTTTTAAATTTTGCCATTAGTTTTTCAATGTGCCTCATGATCCAGGAAACATGAAGGATTCAAGGGCAGCCGTGAGTTCCACGCCAGAAGCCTCTCTGACAAGGGAGAAAGCTGGCTGGCCGAGGCTGACATCTGTGCCCTAGAACCAAAGAGGGCGACTCCGGCTTCCTGCCCCAACCTGGACTTCCCTGGCCTCCATCACCTGCCACTGCCTGGGCAGTAGCCAGCCCAGCGCTGCCCCCCACCAGCCTCCCAGGAGCACTGGCTCCCTAAGCCCACCACCCACTCCAGTGCCCAACCCTGGCACCCGCACAACCTGAGGACTCACCACTACAATCCCGCCAAACGCCCGCATGTTCTGTATCAGGCTCAAGGCAGTACCAGCCACCATAGCCACCGGCTAAGGACATGAAGAAAACACAGGCCTGACTCCTCCTGGCCCTACTCAGGAGCCACCAACCCTGTCCAGCCCCCACCCTGACTAGAAAAGCACAAAATAGGACAGGTAAATTACCACCAACCCATACCTGGACATGCAGCCACCCACGCACAGCTGTACACACCACACCTGTTCACATCCCAAACACCCACCTCTGCCCACACACGCTTACACATTCACAAACCTCCACCCAGCCCACCCTGTGTGGGTTCTGGATCCTGAGGCCCTCCAGTGAAGCTCTCCCAGCCTGTGACCTGACGACAGGTAAGCTGCTCTGTGGCCTGGAGGTGGCACTGACTCTGAGAAGGGAGGCTCTGAGAACCAGCCAGAGAAGCCAGCCTCAAAGGGTCATTCCATCCACACACAACCTAATCCACAGAAGGGCTTCAAATTAGCCCAATCTCTCCACTAGACGTGCACAGAACAGTAAGGCCAACTGCCCGGAGGTTAAGCCACGAGGTATGATGTGTACACCTGCACATGAGATCACGTGCACACACGGGTGTGTGACTGCCCGGAGGTGAAGCCATAGGGTATGATGTGTACACCTGCACATGTGATCACATGCACACACACACA